ATGCACTGGGCCTCTAGTATATAATATATATAAATGTATGTACTTTAAAAACACCCTAGAGCTGAAGGCTCAGTTATCTCCAGGTGTTGATGGTGTGGTTTATGTTCCCTTTGACTTGGTGCATGGGCTGTGGTCCTAATCAGGTTGACTGTGAAAGCGCCCACTACCATCTTCCCTTTGCCGTTGTCACCATTCCCTTCCTCTAGCACTGCTGCCAGTCCTCCTAAACTCATGCCAAGGCCATCCCTTCTGAGTGCCAGGAACATCTGTCCTGGGCGCCTGGCACAGGCGGGTGGCCAGCAATATGTGTGAAATGGACAAGTGGCCGAGAAGCACGGCCAGATGCTCACGGTCACTCCTCGTTTCTTCTCCCACAGCCAGCATCCTCCCTGACGCCAGGAGAGGCGTTCTGTTCTAGCTGCTCGTTGATCCCCCCCCCCCCCTCTCTCTCACCTCACTGTGGGCAGAGATGTCTCCAGACTCTGTTTCTCTAACAGCTAACAGCGTTGGTCCACCGTCAATGGTAATGTTTGTTCAATGACTAACGAATGAATGAGCAGGGCTGGGGTTAATAATATTCCCATTTTACGGATGAGGCCCAGAGGGGGAAATAACTCGCTGGTTGGACGGAGCTTCCCGGGCTCCCATCTAGCCCTTGGCATGGCCTGGGCTGACCTCCCCCTTCAAGTTTGGCAGCTCCACATAGAACTCTAGCTCCCCAGATCCTAGCCCCGTGCTCTTGGACCCTGCTTTCCTTTCCGGGAGTGTTTACTGAGCCCCTGGGAAGCTGGTTCTGGGAGGGGAGGAGGGGACGCCACCCACATCTCCCCGGGGAGAGCCAATGCCCCGGGCGGCGGCGGTAGCGGGGAAGCGAGGGTTTGCGATGCGTGGGAATAGCTGTGCCAATGGTGCTGTAACAACCTCAAGAGGTAGGTATATGCCATTATGATCTCCATTTCACAGGCAGAGAGACTGAGGCTCAGAGAGCAAATAAGTTGCTAAACAGTTCAGGTCATTTCGAGGCAGACTCAGACTCAGGTCTGCGGGACCCCAACTAATGCTCTTGACCCCGGCTTCCCGAGGCCTCGCTGTGCTCAGCTCTGAGCCCTGGGCTGCAGGAGGGAAGGCTGAGTGTCTGAGAGACACGTGGCCGGTTAGAACCAGCTGGGCCTTGGGGAGAACCACTGTAGCCCTGGCCGACTCTCAGCTCCCTGATGGAGCCTGTGCGGGGCCCAAGGGCAGGGAGGAAATGCCAAGTACCGGGAGAGTCCAAAGGGCATGGATCTCAGCTCTGCTGCTTAGTGGCTGTGTGTGCCGGGGCTAGTTCCTTAACCTCTCTGTGCCTCAGTCTCCTCGCCTGTACTCTGGGGGTGACACCAGTCCCCGCTTCTCAGGATTGGAAACAACATACAGACTCGAAAGCACCCAGCACCTGGAAAATAGTCGGCACCCATGTGCAGCAGCTGTTTTATTGTTGTTGCCACAGGGACGGGCGAGTGGGAGAAAGGGCCTGCCTGGCCTCGGGAGCCGGGGTCCCCATCCCTCCTCCTATGAAAGTTTGACTTCACCTTCTGGACCTGAGCCCCGGGGAAAAGGGGAGCGATGCTCTCAGTGCCTGATTCACAGGCTCATGAAAGAGGTGCACAGCACCAGCCCAGGGCCCTGCGCACAGTAGGTGCTCACTGAGGGAGCCCCTGACCTTGGAGGGCCCAGAGGACAGCCCCAGGCCCCGCCTGCCACATGACGGTGGCTATGCCCGGGGTCAGGCTGGGCCAGAAACATGGCCGAGGTGGGCCCCTCGGCCCTTACCCAGGAGTCAGATGAGAGACGAGGGGGGAGAGGGTGGGACTCAGACCCGGGCCAGGACTGAGGTGAGCAAGGGGGATGTGCAGCTGGGTAGAGCTGGGTAGGCTCTCTGCTTCTCCAGCAGCTGACTTGGGGCCTCCAGGGACGTGTGTGTGGTGGGAGGAGTAGACAGGATTCTTGTGTCCCTGGAGACAGGAAGGAAGGCTCAAGGCCCAGAGAGGAATTGCAGGGGATTTAGAGGGATGGGCTGGCTCACACAAGGTCCACAGGTTTGGGTTCAGGGCGCCCAGACCCAGCTAAGCACCCACAGGGCCAGGGTCCAGGGGGTGGGGGCTGTGGGCCATGGCTCCTCTCCAGGGAACCGGAGCCCTGCTGAGACGGGAGTGCGCTGACAAGGGTGTGAATGGCCGCACAATGGGGCACAAAGACCCGCACCCTCTGCTCTTGGCCAGGCTCCCTGCACCTGGGGGTGAGCCACCTCTGCAGCCAGCAAGGCCCTGTGTCTCCCGCCCGCTGGGCTCGGGCTCCGAGGGGGCCTGGCCTCCACTCACAATCCTGCTCCCCGCACTCTCCACTGAAAAGAAAGTTTTGTTTCCTCTTAACGTCTTAGCTCCTTCCGAAAAATTCCAACCTCAACCCGTCTCTGCTGAACCCAGAGAAAGGAATGCGCGGTCGGTCACCTCCGCCAGGGAAGCTCAGGGACCCGGGGGGGAGGGACCCAGGGCTCTGTGCTCACTCAGACCCGTAGCACAGCCCTCCCCCGGCCCCCTGGCCCCCTGGCCCCCTGGCCCCCTTCCCCGGCCCCCTGGCGCCCTGGCCCTCACTGTCCCATCCTACAGACGAGGCCCCAGTGGAGAGGGGAGGGTTGGAGCTGGGACCTGCGCTCAGGCCTGCGCTGTTTCCAGGCGAGGGGGCTAGATGGGGCCGCAGGGCGAGGCTGGGAAGAGCTGCGGCAGCTGAATTCTCCTTTACGGGGGGGCCCCCTCCCCTTCTGGGGACAGTTCTAGGCCATCTCTATCAGCAACAACAGTAACAATGATAATAGCGACAGCAAAGGGGACCATTGCCCAGTGCTCTGGGGGTGCCGGCCCTGTGCTCCTGCTGTCCTCGCGGGACCGTCCACACGCACCCCGGCCCTCTGCTCCATGTCACGGGGCAGGAAGCTGAGTTTCCGGGGTGTGACAGCCCTAGAAAAAGGCCGAGTCAGGATGTGAACTCTGCCGCTTGGCCTGGCTCACACTCCACACCGTCCAGCTGGGATCAGCCCCCGCCTCCGAGCCCCGCTGCCCGCTCCTCCCACCTCCCTCGGTCCCTGCCGTCCTGGTCCTGACCTCAGGGCTTCCTTACACTCCCAGGGCTGTGCCTGTGCGTCCACCAATGTTCCTCTCTCCGCCTCAGCCTGCCGCCCTCCCGCCCCCTTCACACTCGCACCCACGCTGCCGACTCAGAGAGGCCTCCGGGCCCCTCCGGGCTGGTGGCGGCCCCTCCTCTGGGCCCCAGAGCACTCAGGGTCCATAAAACTCCTGTCTATCCACGCCCCAGGCCTTCATTTCACAGCCCTCCCCGCACCAGGCGCCGCTCCAGCTACTGGGACGCAGCAAAGCCGCTGCCCAGCCCTGCCCGGCCAGCTTGCACGCCCCGTCCTCTGGCGGAAATCCTGGAGGACTCCCCGGCTCCTCAGCGGAGGTGGGCTCCTGACCGTGCCCACCTCACACACCCATGAGGCCCTCAGTAAACCTCTGTTGGAGACGGGGCGCACTTCAGGCCCCGTGCTCGGTGCTGGGGAGCGAAAGTGCACATGCCCGGGAGGAGATGCAATCTGGGGGATGCGGGCGCCAGCGACCGATAGGTCAGGAGCACAGGCTCTGGGGTCAGGGGGCGCGACCTCGCACAAGCTCCTTAACCCCTCTGTGCCTCAGTTTCCCCATCTGAGAAATGGGCTTGTGATACGAACTTCCTGCTGGCCCTGGCAGGAGGGTGGAGCGCGTTGATATCTACGGAACACTGAGGCCAGGCCGCGTAGCAAAGGCTTTATGCAGCACTACATAGTCCCGACACACATGAAAGGCAGCCGCGGACCACACGCAGGGCGTCCTGGATTCCGATCCCGGCTCCGCCAGGTCCCAACCCGGTGGAACCCTGGGGATGTCATGGGCCGAGGCTGAGCCCGAGTTTCCCCGGTGGAGAACCGGAGAGACTCATAGTCCTTCCCTCGCAGAGATGCGTCTCCTGAGATCCCAGGAGCGCGCCGGGCTCAGGCCTGGCCCCGGGAAAGACTGAAACACAGTCCTTCTAATGAGGCAAAAGCAGGACCCTGCCCTGGAAGGAGAAGGAAACAGTGGCCTCGGCTGCTGCTCAGATGCCACCTCCTCCAGGAAGCCCCCCGACATTCTGGGCTGCCCCCCCCCCCCCCCCCCCGCTCTGAACTGCTGGGACACTTGTTCCCGTGCCTCTAAGGGGCCTTGGCTTTTCATTCCGGCTCCTGAAGCCGGCCGGCTGTGGGCCCTGCACCTGCACCTCCCGCCTTGGAGTCTAGTTTGTTTGATCTGCAAAGGAGATCAGATCACCCTCAGTGAGTGTCAGTGCGGATGAAACTGGGAGACAGTGTCTGCCTGGCGGTTGGCAGATCCTCCGTCAACGCCAGTCCCCGCCCGGCCTGCCAGCCCATGAGGGTCTGATTTAGCTCTCACTCCCAGACATCGGGCGGCAGGCGAGAGGACCACTGGCCGGTGACGGCAGACATGAAGGGGGGACCCAGGTGTGCCTCGGGCATAAAGGAGACGTTTTCCAGGACGTTTCCACCCTCCACGCTGCCCACTCCCTGCCCCCTCACCTCCCACCGCAGGGCCTTTGCACAAACAAGACAGAATTCCCTGCGTTCCCTCCCTCCTGCCTCCAGCGCCCCCTCCTCCCTGCAGCCAGCCCCCGTGCAGGCCCTGGTCTAAGGTCGCAGCCCACAGTCCTTGGAAGCACGTTTCTGTGGGGGGCGGGGGGTGCTTTCTGCAGTTGCTGTGACCCCACTCTGCCGTGGGCCCGTGGGAACAAGGACGGGGCGTTTTGCATCCCCAGGGCTGGCTGCTGGCTGAAGAAACCGGCACTGAGAGTGGGGAGACCAGCTCTGGTTGGTAAGAGCTGCACCCGGCTGCGGGGTCCTGCCCTAAGCCGCGCAGAGGGCTGCCTCGGGGCGTACGTACCTCAGTCACAATGGAGTCCCCGGTGCTGCTGTTGTAGGCCCAGCCGTCCAGGCACGGCTCGGTGGCCCCCCGGGTGTCGTTGGGCAGGCTGGCGTTGGGTGGGGACACGAACCGGAGGCATGGCTCCGGCTTCCCGCCGGGGCCCACGGGGAGCAGCCAAGGCCCCGCGGAGGCGTTGGGGGGCGGGCGGCAGTGGTGGGCGGGCGTGGCGGCCGTGAAGATCTGCAGCAGGTTGTGGTTGGCCATGCCCAGGATCGGGAGGCCCAGCAGCACCACCAGGAGGAACTGGAAGGGGCCCGTGCTGTTCACACTGTCCACGAGCTTGGAGAAGGTCATGGCGCCGAGAGGACCAGCCAGCGCTGCGGGCGGGCGGGGGCCGGGAGAGGGACGTGCACGCGGGTGAGGCGGGGGCCTGGGGGTGGGTGTGCGGGGCAAGTGGGGTGTGCCCCGGTGTATGTGTGTGTGCAGCGTCTGTGTCAATGCATGGGATGTGGGGCTCAGCTGTGTGCACCCACAGGCGTATGAGTGGCTGCGTGAGGACGTGCCAATCGCACGTACACATGTGGGGTCACAGGTGCGTGCCCACAGGGGTCTCCGGGGTGTGTGTATTCAGGCTGGAGCTGTGTGCACTCGGGCATGTGGTTGTGTGTGGATCTGGGGGCGCAGGTCTGTGTGACTCGCCCAGGCTGGTCACACGTGCTGCGTGCACGGGGCAGAGCGGGTGGCGCAGCTGGGGCCAAAGGGCAGTGGGGCAGCGGGTGGGGGTGGGGTGGGGTGGACAGTGGGCGAGAGTGGGGGAGGTCCCTGGTTGCTCCGAGCAGACACGCAGGCTTCCTCGGCCTGCCTGCTGGGAGGGGAGTCCCCAAGCCCAGCGTCCCCTGGCTCCTGCCTGTCCCCTGGGGCTGGGCCCATGGACTGAGGTGGCGGAAGGGCCAGGGCGGTCCGGAGGGCAGAAGAGACGTGGCGGGCGCAGTGCGGAGGGCCGAGCCCTGGCGGTTTCCCGGGATTCCTGGGGGCAGGGCCCAGGGGCGGGGGGCTCCCTCCCTCCCTCCTCACCTGGTGGCCGGGGCCTGGCTCCCTCGGTGGGGCTGGTGGGGCTGGTGGTCGCTGGGCTGAGGCCCTCGCTCTGTCCCGGTCCCGCGGCCGCTCCGGTTGGGCCTCTCGGCTCCCACAAGCTGTGTTTGTGCCGCCCGGGGGGGCTTATATAAGGCATAAGCTGTTTCCCGGGCTAATGTTTGACTTTCTTTGGGGGATTATCGGCCACCCAGCAGGGAGAGTGTTGTGGGCCCGGCAGGCCCCGCTTCCTCAAAGGGCTGCCTCAGCAAAGGCCGGCTGGCCGTGTGGCTGAGCCTGCGGGACGCTGGCCGGCCGGCAGCCTCCCTGGGGGCCCCAGGCCATCTCTGAGCCCACGCCCTGGGGCTCAGAGCTGAGAACAGCCAGAGAGCGCGCCCCTGTCCCCGGACAGACAGCATTCTCGGGCCCATTCCTTGCCCGGGGCCTCTGGACAAGGCGCCTGGACACTTGGCCGCCAGGGAATGGTCCGCAGGCCCAGGAGAAACTGTCGCCCGCGCCGTCCCCAAGGGCTCGGAGCTGCCATCCCCGGGCCCTGGGGCAGCCAGGGTTCCCTGTCTGAGCCTCAGACCCACCAGCTCAGCCTCCCCCTCCAGCCCTCTCTGCACGGACGGGCTCCTCGTCGCCCACTGCTTCCCTCTGGGGACAAATCGCAGTCTCTACTCCTCCGTTTCCCCCCTGAGTATTATTTTAATTCTGTAATAATGCGTTTCATGCATAAAATACGGGAAACACAAACACGCTACACAAAACAGAACACCCAGTGTCACCCCGAGCCAAGCGGGGAGGGTTCCCGCGTGCGTTCCTCCGGCCCTTGCCCGTGGGGGACTGCGGTCTGAGCCCCATTTCCCAGCTGCCAGCACGAGGCTGCTTTGAGCCTCACAGCAGCCCTGACACGATTCTCGCACGTTCCATGAGGAAATGCGGCACAGAGAGGTTAAGGAACTTGCCCAAGGCCCCCCAGCCAGGAAGTGGCAGGGCAGGTGGCGTGCGGCACTAAGCTCACTTCTGTCTGGTAAAGGTAACTCTTTTCTTCTTTGTTTAAAAATATTTTTATTGATTTCAGAGAGGAAGGGAGAAGGAGGGGGAGAGGGATAGAGTCAGAAACATCGACGAGAGAGAAACATCGATCAGCTCTGCCTCCTGCACACTCCCCACTGGAGATGTGCCCGCAACCCAGGCACATGTCCCCGACCGGAATCGAACCTGGGACCCTGCGGTCCACAGGCCGACGCTCTATCCACTGAGCCAAACCAACTAGGGCTCTTTTCTTCTTTTTTTAAAAAATATTTTTGTTGATTTCAGAGAGGAAGGGAGAGGGAGAGATAGAAACATCAAGGATGAGAGAGAACCATGGATCGGCTGCCTCCTGCACGCCCCCTACTGGGGATCGAGCCCACCACCCAGGCATGTGCCACGTGCCCTGACCGGGAATGGAACCGTGACTCCTGGTTCATTGATTGATGATCAACCACTGAGCCACAGTGGCTGGGTGGACGTCAACCCTTTCTACAAAGTCTAGGGGCCTTGTACTGACTCTCTGTTAGCGGTCCCCTCTCCCCCGCCCCCCGCCCCGCCCCCAGGCCTTCAACAGCCCTGCCTGCCACTAGCTCACCTCTCTGCTTCTCCCTCCGGAGATCCCTGGCAGCTGCTCACCCCCGCCCCCGCCCCCCCACCTGCTCTGGGGACAGGGTGGGCCCCCCCAGAGGCCCCCTTCCTGGTGAGGGAGGGGCTTCCCATTCTTGAGCTACGGGGCTCCAGCTGGGCTCCCCCACCCCCCAAGTCTCCTCCCATCCCCCCACCCCCCAGGGCAGGGTCAGCCAGTTAGCCAGGCCCAGCCCCTCCTCCCGGCTCCCACCTGGGCCCAGCAGCGATGGATGTTCTCAGAGGGGCCCAGGCAGGGCCGGATCCGGAGTCATCAAAGAATCAAAGAAAGATCCCCCCCCCCGCCCCCCCCCCCCCCCCCCCCCGGCAGCCGCAGGGCTGTTTTAGGAAGGTTTTCGGCTGTGAGGCTACCGGGAAGCTGGGCCATTGCCCTGAGCCCCCCTGTCCTGGGCCTGCTCCCTCCTCGAGACTTCTGGTTCCTCGTTGGGCCTGGGTTACCCTCCTTCCTGTCCTTGGGGAACGTGGTTTAAAAGAGCCTGCTGACCACCCCCCGGCCCCCCCCTCAAGGCTGCTGGAGGGGAGCCGGGCAGGGATGTCGGAGCTGCTCAGTAGGGAACCCCCCCACCCCCCATTGGAGGTGCTTGGACTCATGATACCTGAGCTGAGGCATTCTGTTAACTCCGGCAGCCGTGGGGACTGCCCAGGCTTCTGCTGTGTGACCTTGGGCAGATCACCTCCTCCGAGCCTCTCGTTTCTCTTCATTAGTTAAATAGCTTAAAAAAAGAAAACACAGCCTTGGCTGGTGTGGTCCAGTGGATAGAGCGTCGGCCTGCGGGCCGAAGGGTCCTGGGTTCGATTCTGGTCAAGGGCACATGCCTGGGTTGCGGGCTCGATCCCCAGTAGGGGGCCTGCAGGAGGCAGCTGATCAATGATTCTCCCTCATCATTGATGTTCCTACCTCCCTCTTCCTTCCTCTCTGACATCAATAAAAATATATTTTACAAATAATAATAAAATAAATAAACCAAACATTAAAAAAACCACCCACCAGGAATCTTTTATTCAAACAATATATTGGGTTCATAAGATCATTATGTAAGGCAGATACTAGAGGGGACAGTCTGGCTAAAGTGTGGGGGGGGGGGTGGAGAGAAAGTGTCCCCCCACAACCCTAACCACCCCTTCTCGTGGCATCTCCCTCCCCAGGCCACCCCTGCATTGTATTAGAGGATCCATCACGCCCCCATGCTGTGATCCTAAACTCAATATGGTGAAATTAACTTTTAAAAGAAATGATGCATTTGGGAAAACGTATGTGCTAAATGCATTTTTTATTTGAAACATGGCAATCCATTTTCTTCCTCCCTCCCTCCCTCCCTCCCTCCCTCCCTCCCTCCCTCCCTCCCTCCCTCCCTCCTCCCTGCTTCCCTTCCTCCCTCCCTGCTTTAAGCTGGGAGTTTCCTTTAAGCTGAACTGGGCGCAGTCATGTCCCCTGTTCTGCTGCTCAGACCACGTCCCCAGTGGGGACGGTGAGGCCGGAGCTGTCCCTCCCTGGTGGCCATGCTGAAGCCCTGAGCCTCCGTCACTGCTCGGGGACCCGACTCAGCCCTGCCCTTGGGAGGCCCCAACAGAGTAGGCGGCCTGCGTGGGTGGCGTCGGGCTGTACTGGAGCCAGGGACTGTCCTCTGCCCTCAACCCTACCCGCCCCCCCCCCCCGCCCCCCATGGGCCGAAGCTAAAGGTCCCTGTGGGAACAGGCTGTGCAGGGACGAGGGTCCTGCAGGCCTGGACTTGGATCTCGACTCCACCCCGTGCTACTTGTGTGGCCTTGGGCAGGTGATGTCACCTGTTTAAGCCTCAGTTTCCCCACTTGTAAAGTGGGGATCAGTGCCTTCTTTGCAGGATTGCTGGGGCTGTATTTATTCGTTTAAACATTCCTAGCTTTTGCCCTAGTTGTAACTGGCACACTTTTATGTTTGTTTTCTAAATTGATTTCAGAGAGAGGAAGGGAGACGGAGAGAGGGACAGGAGCATCAGTGACTAGAGAGAATCATTGGTAGGCTGCCTCCTGCACGCCCCCTCCTGGGGACCGAGCAGGTGCCCTGACCGGGAATCCCACCGTGACCTATGACCTCCTGGTTCAGAGGTCCACGCTCAACCACGGAGCCACGCCAGCGGGCGGATTGTTGGCGTTTTAAATAAAGTGCACAAAGCCCTGAACACAGTCCCAGCACAAAACTTAACTGAGGGCCAGCCCTGCGGGAACAGGCCCGACGGCTGAGCAGCCCCGGAGGAAGGAGGGAAGGCGGTGGGAGGCGGGGCGACAGGAGGGGCCGCTGGGTGCCTGGGGCACAGGCTGGAAGGGCTTGAGGAGGCCGGCGGGCCCTGGAGGCTGTCCGTGGCCCCGGGAGAGCGTCCAGGCCCAGCCGGTCACTGCCCAGCCACCATGCTGCAGACAGGCTGGCCTCAGGTGCCACCCAGGCACAAAAGGGACACGGGGACCGTTCCTGGGCGGACGGAGCCGCACCTGGGAGGGTGAGCTCACACAGCGGAGGCCGGGGGGGCGGCGCCCCCTGCCTCGATGGAACGGTGAGTTTGGGGGCCCTCTGGCCCCCTGAGCCCAGCACAGCCAGCGGACTTACGTGGGTCGGAACCCCGCACAGAGTCCAACTGCCATAGGACCGCAGTCTGACTCTCCCGCTGCAGGCTGACGGGACAGACGCCACGGTGCCCATGTCCCCCATGGCCTTCTGCCCACCCAGTGCCTTAGGCAGGGCTGGCCGGCTCCCGCGGTCCCGGGCCGGGGATGGGCGGCGGGCGGGCTGGTGTGGGCGACAGTGAGTGGTGAGCGCAGGGCCGTCCAGTCTGCGGGCAGCGGCGCCGCACCAGCTGGTGTTGCCATGGGGACATGCAGGCTCGGGGCTGCCAGATCTTCAGAGATTTTTAAAAATAGCTTGAAATCTGGACTCTGTGTGAAATTCTCCGATTGTGTAGGCGACCCCCCTCCCACCTTCTGGAATCCCTTTGTCTGTTCTGCTTCCACCACCTCCGGGAGCCTCAATTCCGGGTGGGAGGTCGGAGCCCGGGGGTCTGGCCTCGCCCAGCTCCTCGCCGGCCGGCAAACCTCCGCCCAGCACCGGCCTAGGGCTGGGCCCTGCGTGGAGGTGTGAAGACGGGGCGGGATGGGGGGGGGGCGGGGGGGATGAAGGAACACGGAGCCCTGCTGGGGGGGGGGGTTCGCACCCCTAGAGGAAGAGAGGCAGGGGCAGGCGTCCGTGCAGCCGGTCCACGTGCCAGGCGCTCTGAGGACACGGCCCACACGCTTCCCCTCTGAGTCACATCCGCCGCGTGGTCCCCCTGCAGCCACCATGGCAGGTGCACGGATTGGGCCACGCTGCTCTCTTTCTCTCCCAGCATCGTCCCCCTCGCTGCTCCCCAGGCCGCCCCTTCCCGGGTCCTCAGAGGACGCCCGGGACCAGGCGAGTCCCAGTGGCCCCATCCCCTGGGCTCTAGC